GCCCAATCTCACCATTCCTCTTCAACTTTGCCATCGATGACATTCTGGAAACAGCTCTGATGAATGTAAGTAATGGTGGTGTGGATCTGTTGCCTGGAGAAAGACTTCTCGACCTTGAGTATGCGGACGATATTGTCTTACTGTGCGATGATGCCCAAGACGTGCAATCCACACTTAATCAGTTGGCAATCAGTGTCCGTATGTACGGTGTGTGCTTTGCACTTTCGAAATGCAAAGTACTTCTACAAGACTGGCAGGATCCTAATCCTGTACTCACCCTGGATGGTGAGCAGATAGAAATAGTCGAGAAGTTCGTGTATCCGGGTAACTGCATAAGTGCTGGTGGGGGTGTGAGTGATGAGATCAATGCACGAATAGTGAAAGCCAGAGCGGCTTATGCCAATCTGGGCCACCTTGGGCGCCTTCGTGATGTTAGTCTGGCTGCAAAATGTCGGATCTACAACGCGTCGGTGAGAGCAGTTTTGCTCTATGCTTGTGAAACCTGGACTCTCCGAGTTGAGGACGTCAGACGACTCTCTGTGTTCGATCATCGCTGTCTCCGAAGGATTGCTGACATTCAGTGGCAACACCATGTCAGTAATGTAGAGGTTCGGCATCGTGTGTTCGGGCACAGAGATGATAACTCAATTGGTGTCACCATCTTGAAACACTGACTTCGGTGGCTTGGACATGTTCTCCGAATGTCGTCCCAGAGAATTCCACGTCGTGCATTATTTGCCGACTCTGGGACTGGTTGGAAGAAGCGGAGAGGTGGTCAGTGCATGACATGGTGTCGTGGCATGAAAGAAAGCTGCAAAGGACTGGCTTGTGTTGGTCCTTCACGACTCCCTGGTTGGGGTCTGAGAGATGGTGCTACACAGTGGCTAGAGACGTTATCAGATATGGCTCAGAATAGAAGCCAGTGGCGTTCCTGCTGTAACCTTCTTTTACTTTCTTCATAAAAAGTGGTTGTCTCCCTTACCTGAAAGATTTATTCCGATTGAACCTTTGCGTTTCCTCATTACTACCACACTACCTTACACCAATCTCTTCGTTATTGTTCTCTTTTTTTTCTATTTCTCTTCGAATTCTCATTGTTTTGTGTGGCGCATATATATTGGCGCTCTCTTGTACCAATATTTGTGTTCAAATAAATAAATAGTAACTTAAGGAAACGAAGTACATCATTTTTGCCTAAGATTAGATTGACCAACAAATATACTGTTACTTTAGTCATTTCAAGCTATCACGAGTCTTGATCTTACAATTATCGTTGTACATTAATGCCTCAACCTGTTTTCATAAGTTGTGACAATATAATGTGTCTTATTGGTTGATTTGAACACCAAAAACTTGACTTACTGAATTAGTACGCAGCTGCCTAGATCCACAAATATGAGCACATAAGACAATGATCTGACCATTTCAATTATACTGTCTGAACTAGAGGGTTTCTAACCTACCTTAGATTTTATTTAACCATGTAATACTTTCGACATCTTCACACGTCATATAGTTTCCTTTCAATTCAATTATTTATACCATTTTATTCTTCATACCTTTGAAAATAGATACTAAATAACAAGAGGAATGCAACTTGTTAACTTATCGCTTCTAACTGGTTATAATAAGGCCGAATCAATAGAACAGTCTCGAACTTCTGTTAGCTATTAGACTGTTCAAAATATTCGTTAATAAAATAATCCAGATTTTTTTACTTTTGACTAACAGACAGGGCTTAGCACTGTTTCTATAGTAAAATCTATTATAAGACTTGTTCAGATTGTGTTATTCTACCAGAATTCACCATACTCTAAATCCAGCAGTAAAATGTAGTAAGCCTGATGAGCCCTGGTTGGTGTAGTTATTTTTCTCCAGCGTTTCTTGATATGAATCAACATCACCATTAACCTACAGAATCTCTTGCTCGCAAATAACTATGTGGGAAGTCAGTGGAAGTTATCCGACCTAGATGTGATAAGTTGTGCACTATCGTGAACTGACTGTAGCTAAAAGATATAAGAAATTGAATTTCATCTTACTGATTCAATGGTATCGTGCTGAAGGTCATGGTTTGACCCATCCGGGATAGGTGTGAACAAGCGAGGATTAGCAAACTGATAAATAACCATAAAAGACGAGCTGGTTTCGAATGGTTCTCGAATTGATGTTAATCTTTTTAACAAATGACATCAATTACACAAACACTGGAAAATACAAATTAATCACTTTATGCCATCGTTCTGGCATTGTAATGTAGCAACTTGGGGTAACATACATTTGTCCCAAGCTGTGTTGATCCCAACCGACTGGATATTTCTTGAATGTGATCTCATGATATTGGTCTCTTAAATTAACATAACCACCCTTAAGCTATCTCGTCAATCACCACAATTGCGCAGTATTAAATTGTAATATCAAATCCATTTTAATTGAAACCTTGACTTCGCGACTTTTAATATTTATAATAACATAAATCCCTCACTCAATATTTTTATTGCTATACTATACAAGGTATTAGTCCTGGATGCCAAGATAATTATTTCCACGATTATGATTGTCAATGGTTAGATATTACCGATCTAATTCCAGGTGAATATACATTTCAATTGATTTTAAATCCAGACTTCTTAGTACCCGAAATTACTTACAAGAACAATGCCATAGAATGTCGTCTATCTATAGGACATACAAATCATCATTATGCCGCATTATCAAAGTGCCATTTGGTACATCCGTATGATTTGTGAAAACTCACGATTGCACACGGTCACATACATAAACATATCAGTTTTACTTTGAAAAAAACATCATATAAATTAGATACATTTATTATCCTGTAATCACATTATAATATTGATTCACATGCATCATTGGTTATGCACCATGGACATTTATATTATCAGTAGAAAATTAATAAAATTATATCAAGTGCTATATTTCACTATTTTCAACTAAATATATTCGGGATAGATATAAAATTTATGTGCAACATGTCTTCCATTGACATAACTTGACTTTAAAAACCAACTGAATTTCAAAACGTCATCAACTTAAACTACTACTTAATTCAAACAAATTCTTATGTAAAAACATAAACTATATACAATATACGGCTACTTTAGAGTGAAAATCCCCGCGATTATCGATCTATAAATATAACCATTTTTATGATATACTAAATCATTATTATATTATATATTATTCTGCTTGAATAGATGACTCGGTTATTACCTTCCTTCTACTCCATTGTCTCACATGAAGAAAAACCTCACTGTTACAAAACGTGAATCCTACATAAGTAAACAATTTTCTCGCCTGAAAAATTAACTTAAACCAACGCATATGCTTTTAAGCACTATTCATATGGAGACTTCAAGACATCCCTAGAAACTGTTTTTATCTTATATGCAAATTATATATTCTAGTCATCTTATTTGCTATACTCCACCAGTAGCTCTTCTAGGATTATTGCCGGTCTCAAGCCCGGATAAAAAAGGAGGGTTAGACGTGGAGTCAGCAACCCCATCGCGTAAAAAACAAACTTGCTAAAAAACACTAACCAGAATAAACAATTTAAACTCTGCCTTGAGAGTTGAAGGATGAATTATGACGCCTCGTGATGAATACCGAGATTGTTCGGAAGTCATGAGGTCTATCCCCCTTCTAACAACTAGAGCAATAATTTTTATAGGTACATGGACTGTCTGGACAATGTGAGAGACCAGGAGGACTAATCAAGTAGATAAAGAAATGAGATAATACTTCGCGGTTTTCGGAATCAGCGAAACCCATTGGACCCAAGCTGGACAGAAAAGATTAGATTCAGGAGGGATGCTGCTGTAATACGATCACAAAGCGGAAGATGCTCTACACACTCAGGGAGTTGATCTGATGCTGTCCTAAGATGCACGAAGTACTATAATAGGATAGGAATCTCATGGATCCAGGATCATCAAAGTGTCATTCGGAATAAAGAAAGAGGGTATTACAATGAACGTTATGCACTAACGATAGCAATGATGATAAAGATCTGTTCTACGAGAGGCTACAAACGGTCATAGTGAAGTGCCCATGAAAGGACCTGATAATCCTGATGGAAAATGTAAACGGTAAAATCGGAATGGACAACGGTTATGAAGATATATAGAATTAAGTCTGTTTTGTTATTACTACTATTATAACAATAGAAGAACAAGTGCAGACAGACTGGAAAGAAAGATATTTCATCAACATTCCAAAAAAAGATCTGAGCAAATGTGATAACTATAGGGGCATCACACTACTATCGGTACCAGGAAACGTTTTTAACAGTGCTGTTGGACCGGATGAAGGATTCAATATACGCCCAACTTCGAGATCAACAGGCTGAATTCCGTAAGAATCGGTCGTGTGCAGCTCCAATTGCGACACTACGGATCATCAATATTGAATCCTGGTATTACACAAAATATGTCAATGTCCTGAAATACAGTTAAAAACTGCAATTAAAATAGTCAAAGTATCTGTGAGCACACTAATTATACAATACAATTGAGGATAGGTAAGTGAAAACATATAGTAATTTAAGTTTGGCAATTTTGTGCTACTAGTATCGGATATAATAAGTAGCCAATTAAAACGTAAGGTTATTATAGGCAGTTATGAAGAGCAACGTATGGATCACAATTCATAAATGATTAAAAGGCATTGATGAATACAGAGTATATAATAATGATATTTTATTTAAATACCAAGTAAAATAAACACTCGAAAACAATATTTAGATTTAAAATAACACGATAGTTAATAAATACTGCGGAGAAATATAGATCTAGATAAAATGTGAGAAAAATTGATAAAGATAGACATTTTAGGCAAGATGAAATTAGTTATCATTTTATGATTATTATTTACACTGAATAGAAGTTATAGAAGAGTTAGTTTTGACTTAATTTTCCTCAACATCGGATTGTATCGATTTCGCTGTGATATTTACACTTGATGACGAACTGAACGGTAAAGACTGTGAGGCAGCAGCCAGCTGAACTCTACTTAAGGGCAATAAAGGAGGATGATCAGTACCCGTACCCATTAGACCACCATACTTATTGTAAAAAGACCTATAAAAAAAGATTCAACTAGAGAATAAATAAATAATTATCTTATACACAATAGATATACTTTGTGTAAAAATTAAAAATTAAAATAAATAACGATATTGCAAGATTATGGCAGCTTACATGGTCAAATTTATTTATTTCTTGACTTTCTACAGTAACGTTTTTCAATGTTAAACCAATTAAAAATGATTTTCCGAAAAATTTAACAAATCATTATATACATATTTTTGCACAATGTATGTTTTGAAATGATTTAGTTCTTCATCCCTGTTCCCATATAACACCATTTTTTAAAAATGGATAAATTAATGTTCTCATAAACACGTTTAGAACTGATTCACTGAATTTTTCTAAGTTGATAGTTCAAAATCTAACATATCATGATCTCGAGATGATAGAAGATGTATAATCATATTTTTAAGAAAAATGGAGTATGATCCCGTTATAGCATGAGAGCATTAAAACGTTATTCTCATACGCTAAATTTAAGATGTATCCTCAGTGGTTTTCCTCTATATTTGTGCCAGTAGAATAATCTAACCTTAGTAACTATTTAGAATAGCTTACTTACCCCTGTAATAATGGTTGCTTTTCCGTTGAAACTCTTGAAGAAGACGGATTAGATGGACGACAATAATCAACGGGCACAGGGTAGTTCACGGAACCTTCCGAATCTATTTTATTGTATACCTTGGGAGATGAAAGCAAATTATACAAACTGGATGCAGAATTTGCATTGGATGATAAACTTGGGACAGGAAACATTCGAGGTACATAACATGAAGCTTGGGAACTTGGTCTAATCTCTCCCAATAATGAAAGGCTATTGCTAGGGGTGTGTGCATTAGTATTTGTGTATGGATGTTTTGAGTTTGATGTATGGTAATTTTGAGCTTCAGATAATTCACGTGCATCTTGTAAACGAATCAAACACAACGCTAGTGAGCCGAAGCATATACTGCTAACAAACCATATTACGACAACAATAACATCTGAAGATAAAATTTATGAATTTTTAACAAACAATTAGGAAATAATCGTTATTACACTAATCATCATTAATAACAGTATAATCCTTAGTACTACTATTATTGAGGCTAAATAATGATTGTATAAATAGGTTATTTGTAAACCAGTTTTAAAATTCATTCACACTCCAAAAGACTTCTCAGTCCACGACATAAACTTGACCTTTGTAGAGTTTATATCACCAACGATCTATGTAGTGAGTCTTATGTTAATATTTTTACAGTATACTTATAATAAGGAACATTCCCGGTTACGTGGAACTGAGGTGAATAGATCCATTAATCTATCATTTAGATAACATAAAAACTACTTTACCTACATTGGTTTGAGTTGTGGTATGATGTCATCATGAGCGGTCACTAACTAGTATTATTTAGGACGAATTACTCATAAAAGTTATTTAAGAATGACGACAAGAAAAAAAGTTTCTCATTTATGCAAAAAATAAATATGGTCATATATTCAGCAGAAACAATAAATAATCAACTATAATTAAAATCAATCCAAATATACAAAAGTTTCAGTTATGAGGCTGAAAAATGGATCCAAATAAAGAAAAACTCTATTCCGCAAATTTAACTAACCTTTTAAAATTACGGACAGAAACTTATGCAAAAGATACAATGGAAACGGCTATAAACCAATAGAATCATGCAACTTCAGTTAACAATTCATATCATTTTGAAAATTCGTCAGTGTAAAGACTACGCTTCAAAGAACAAAACTAATCTTAAACAAACTTGATCTGATTAAAGTAGAAAATGTACAGAAATGAACATGGAAGTATGAAAATAAATATTTAAAAATTACCATATTGACCATAGAATTGGATGCGTAGAGTACGTAGTCTTATATCAAAACAGGTTAACATCAAGAAATATTCAATTACAATGTGAGGTAATAAACAGCTTGGTATGAGAAAAAAACTTGCACAGCATAGTGTAACGTAAAAACCAAGAAGAGCAGTTGAAATACCGAATGCCTGAAAATTAAGAAAAAATTTAGTATACACATTTGGATTGATCTTAAAAATACCGTTGAGATAACAGGCAATGACGTATATTCTTAAAATCAAAACCTACATATTCCGTTTTGAAAGAACATATTTGAAACACTACAACAAAAAGCACAACTGAAACAAATATTTGAAGGAACAGTTTATTTACTACGTATAAATGTTTATACAATTATTCAGAGAATCATGTTTATTATTGCTCAGTGGAATGATACTACCTAAAACGAATCATGTGGTGAGAGTTCAAAATAATGACCATCTGTAAATCAAAAACCAAGTTTCAAGAGTACCAAGACAAACAATCACCTCCCTGAAAAAGCGACCTTTTAAGTGCTTATGTAAATTTGAAGTAAAACATTAACCTAAATTGCAAATTTGATAGCGTTTTTTATTTATTTATTTATTTGAACACATAAATATTGGTACAAGAGAGCGCCAATATATATGCACCACACTATACCTTCGACTAAAATACCAACCTGTAGGCAATAAAACTGAGTGAGTCAGTTTTCGGAGATCGTATTTGTGAATAAGATAAATGATTCTATACAAAAATCTTGCATACGTAAAAACTAATACACTTACTATCTATTATAATATACGGATATTATAGAAAGATGTTTGAAATGTTTCATAAAACTCACAAAAAAGAAGTTTTAACGCAATATATACAAAAGTGTTATAATCAAGTGATACATCGATTAAGTTAAAACTGTTTATAATTTCAGCTTACAATTATTAAAATTCGAAATGTAGCAACTAGAGAGTGTAGTTGTGTACTTTATCTGTGAAAAAAATAACCAACGTAAATTATACTCTAATGACAACGAAGTGGATTAATAAGAATTTAGTATTTTCAAATTATTCTCATTCTAGTAGACTTCTTTAGAAAATTAAATTCAACTCATTTACAAGGTACTTGCTTGGGTGTGAGGGCTAATGATACTACTCGGTTCCCGAAACCGAAGTAGGTAGGGTGGGGCTTGAACCTAGAAAGTCGAATGACCTAATTACTAATTCACCACTCAATCCGCAATGTGTACGTCAGTTGTGCAAAAGGCAGCTGATGAAACTGATCTTCGTTAAAATTGTTTTTTAAGACTAGCCTTTATAGCACTAACCAATAAAGTGAATATTATCGAAAAAAACTGAGGGAGATCTCTATGAAAAGGTGTGAATAAAGATCTACTTCGTCGTTTTTTTCTTTTTCTTAAGGATTTTTACGCAACACGATATTTGAGCAACTGTAATGTTAAAATTCAAGAAAAAAAAACATTATTACATCAATATATGTAATAAGAAATCCTAACACCTGTTAATACTGTTCGTTTCACACTAAAAAAAAGAACATTTTATGACTATCTTTGAATAACATTTTATAAACTAAATTTCTGTACTTTTGTCCAACTCTCTTCACTTTACCTTTCATTTCCCCTGCCATTGAGGCTGATATCTTGTGATCCTACCGCTTATGCTTGGAGTATTATTCTAATGTTCCATTTTCACGCACATTGTAAGTACATTTAGGCATAACTGGAGGACTATGTCGTCCTCACTGTGGACCAATTACATTTTCTAGTTAATGATATGTCTTTTGTCTTTACTATTAACTGAAGTTATATGCAGAAGACAGGTATCACGATCTCAATATCAGCGATTAATTACTAGAGATGTATTATTTATCTATCATTCCTTAACCTACACATTATTATTTATTACACAAGTCTATCAAGTTTTCTAAATAATTTATAATTGAACTAGCAAAAAAACTTACAAAATTTTTGAATATACTCAGCAAGCCAAGCAATAATCCTGACATTATTGTACAGAACGCAAAAAAAGAAACCGAAGATTTGTCCAATTTTAGAGAACGATCTGAAGAAAAAGAGTAATTGCATATATATGAGTATTGCAGTTGAAATATCGATAATTACAACTCACTTAAGTACATAAAATAGGAATCAAATCAAATGGAGTCACTGCGAGACGGTATTGACAGGTGATTAACAGTTTTAAGTAGATTTTGTGCACACGCAATAGGGGAAACAATCGGTGCTATGTTGATGAATCTCCAAAATAATAGTGTCAACGGTATAATCCTGTCTCCAGGAAGACTACAATTTCCTTATTTTTTTTTACGCGGTATTACGTGTTTCGTAAACCTACTTTATCCCCCTTCTAACCCCTGTACAAACAAATAATTGGTAGTTGATATATTGTAGACTATAACATCACTTTAGTGTGGATGCTGTCTTCAGACCACTTTGCTGCTTATGGATATCCTGCAGAGACCTGAGTGCATCAAATACATGTTCATTATTGCAATTGACAATCTCATTATTGGTTAAAGATAAGGGTACGAAATGTTATACGGCGTTGTCTTCATCCACTATCGATCTTTTAGAAATGTTTTATCGGCGAGATTATAATTTATGGACGAGCCAATCAGATTTACGATAACAGGTCTTAGATTTTGGCGCGAAGTTCATTCACCCATTTGTCTAAATAGAGACTTAGTATTATAGCTTATGTCAGTTCGTGATGAAAACCCTAAATCGAATTCTTAACCCTAACCATCAACTGTAAATCATAATCCTTATTCTTTAAACTGCTTCATAACCCTCATTTAGCCCTAGTAAGTAGGCAGACACCCTCAAGGTCATTTTAGCGTCGCTCATAGGCCGTCCATAAATCATAGTATTACCGTTTCATCTTTTAACAAGCCACAAATCACGCTCACACTGTTGGGACGATATTCTGAAGGTTCGAAGTATTCGAATTATAGTACGAACTAGGAATAGCAGAAATAATTCAATTTAGCCAAGAAGTACTAGATGAACACGAACGAACGTATTGTATTTGGAATAGGAAATCAGGCAGTTATCAAGTGAAAAAGAATCACCAGTTCATACAAACACCACAGATATGACTTACTATTTCTTCCTAGGATAACGGTACAATAGTTGTTAATCTCTTTATCTTATATAGGTATTATATTTCCTCAACCGCATGGTGAACAATTTCTGTGTGTTTGCCTACACACGACTTTCTCTTAATTCCCAACGTAACATAAATAGTCCCAACTTATCTTAAAAATTCTTTATCTTTAATCTTGTAAGTCTTTCGTATTTATGTAAACCCTACCACTTTTATTGGAAACATCACTAACTAAATATACTCAACCAAGTGTCTACACCAGATCACATTTGGTCGCACGGTACAGAGCAACTCTTACGATAATTAATCGGGTTGAGTGAGATACACAACAATACATCGATCTTTTTTCAATACTACGTTCTGATCCTTTCGAGTTTAGTTGATTTTAGAGTCGTAGTATAAGAAACTTTGAACTGATCCAGTTACGATATCTATTATACTTTACGCAATATTAGATGATGTACAACTCTTCCACTTCAAAAGTAGTCACAGTAGTGACTGTAATACTCAGACCTTCAATACTTGACCAGAAACTATGAATTGTGGCACTTTTGGAAATGCTATTAATTTAGAGGACCTTTGTTACGAAAACTGTAGTTCATAATGCCGTATCACTTCTAAAATACGTTCATGAGGCAATCTTGTATTTCTGAACATTTCAACAGTTTTCTTTCTAGATTATGCAGCTCATATTGTATCCAAACTTTAAATATTTGAATCATTAGAGATCACAGTCAATCATTTATTAAGAAAAGATGTTCCATACAAACAAAAAATGTTTATCCACACAGAGCGCGACAACCCAAATAGATCAGGGAGAAACAATCCAATAGTAGTCAAACTGCGGTCGGAGAAACATTATATCATACAAAAAAAATTAAATACCGATTCAGAATGTATTGATGGATAAAAAAAGAAACAGAAGTAAGCAAGATACATGAGAATGAAAAGAGTAACTTTATACCTTGGGCGAATAAAGAATTTACGACAAATATAATGCACACAAGAGGGATTTTCACTCATAGATAAAGGACGTTGAAAATTATTAAAACAAACAGGCATCAAACTAGCGCAACAGATAACAAAAGTAAACATTAGATTATACTGGAAGTTTAATGCTAAATCAACCAGAAGTAATCAACTAAGCGTGCAACCTGAATAGGCAGCCACGAATCATGGGCTACTAATTAGCTTAGCGGATAAGAAGTTGGCGATCAAAGCGCACAATAAGATCTAGCCCCAGTGTAAATACAAATAGGAAGCAGGTACATAGAGCCGACGCGACTCAAATAGGATGAACCAGGTGTCTTGGGTCTTCTTGGTCACCACAATTCAAATGTCTTTAAAAAGTAGTAGTCTTTTCAACGTACGCACCCTGTGTCAAGCGGTCAGCATGTCTCCTTGGATAACGCCCTAAAATCTAGTACCATTGGTGTATGCTGTGTCTTCGAAACACACATACAGGACCCTAGTGTGGTCATACACTAGACCTCACCTTGCCAAAACGGAGAGCCGACGAGATACACCCTCCGTTTACCTGGCTAGTTCGCGTAGACGATGGCAGAACAAACACTGTTAGAATGGATCCCTATCAACAGTCGTCTATGTGCTGTTCGACTAAACGGCTCCATTAAAACTCCAAAGGATAGTGACACACGTCGTTGCCCTTTCGTCGTTTCTGCCTATGCTCCCACTGACTGCAGTCCGGATGATGTTAAAGATGACTTTTACAGAAAGCTTTCTGAACTTCTTCAGAAAGCTAAACGCTCAGACATAGTACTCATAGCAGGTGACTTTAATGCCCAGGTAGGTAGATAAAACCAAGCAGAAAGATATTTAGGTGGGTATTTCACTATTCCGGCTCAGCGAACAGATAATGGTGATCGTCTGCTGCAACTTTGCTCAGACAATCGTTTATTTTTAGCAAACACTAATTTCAAGCCTAAGGAGAGACATCATCTAACATGGCGACTCCCGAAACCAAACTAACGATGGACTCAAATAGACCATATTGGCATCAGTCATCGTTGGAGAGGGTCGATAGAAGATTGTCTCTCATTCTAGAAAACCACTTTAGCCTCTGGTCGTCGTCTGATAAGAGCACGCATTAGCTTGCGCCTCACTGGACGTAGAAAAACCACACTAAGAAGACCCATTAAAATTGAATTGAGTGACAAAAAGCAGAAAGTAGATTCCAGGAACAACTGAGGTCACAAATAGATAGTACTGGAAACGAGGCTGACACAGATGTTGCTTGGAAAGATATACAAACAGCTGTAAAAACAGCAGTGGTGTCAGACAAGGCTGTTCAATATCTCCATTTTTGTTTAATTCCATCATAAGCCTACTGCTGGAAATAACGTTCTCGTCGACTGAATTTTCGGGCATTGATCTTCTACTAGGAGGTCCACTTATCGACTTAGAATACGCAGATGATATAGTCCTGTTTGGTGAAGACGCTGATAAAATGCAGTCTTTTGGTAGCACCGGGCAACAATACCAAGATGTTTGGGATGTGTTTCTCTCCTTCTAAATCCAAATTGTTGCTACAGGACTGGTCTGCGTCAACACCTGAACTAAGGATAGGGAGTGAAGTAGTTGAACACGTCGACAACTTCACTTAGCTTGGAAGTCTGATCAGCCCTAATGGGTTGGTGTCTGACGAAATCTCAGCACGGATTCGAAAAGCTCGGTTGGCGTTTGACAACTTATGTCACCTATGGCGAAGGTGAGATATCCGGCTATCAATTAAGGGACGAGTTTACTGCGCAGCAGTTTGTTTTATTCTATTTTACGGCTGCGAAACGTGGCCATTAAGAGTAGAAGATACTTGTAAGCTACTAGCGTTTGATCACTGATGTCTTAGAAATATTGCTCGCATCTGCTGGGATCACTGGGTAATTAATAGTGAGATTAGACGCAGGGTATTAGGGAATGATGATAAATCGGTTGATGAGGTTGTGAATCTTTATCGACTGAGATGGTTGGGACACGTGTTACGTATGCCTGAACAACGATTACCACGACGCACAATGCCGACTAGTGTTGGGGATGGTTGGGAGAAAGCTAGGGGCGGACAAACCAAAACATAGCGTCAGTCCTTGAATTCGCTAACTCCTAGTCTGAGTCATGTTGGTAGATACAGACTACTTGGGGTTCGCGTGGCTATTATAATGGTTGAAGACGCTGGGTGAAATAAATCAGAATCGATCACAATGGTGTAGGTATATACACAATCTGTCTTCCCTTAAACTGAGAGATTAAATTAATTTATACCTTTCCTTCTACGAACTAATTCTTTCTTCTATACTATACCCTTATATGCAATACTTCTTTTACATATTACTACTTTTATGAATTCGGTGTTCATCCTGTTGTGCTAATGAGGTGTGGCAACTTGGACCGATGTATATACGTGCCTGGTCCTACTTTGTAGCTGACTGACTGACTGACTGAAACAGAAGTATCAAAGTAAAACAATGAAACAAGATGAATTTGATACCATCGCGGTATTTTAAGCTCAGTTCTCAATTTATTTATTTATTTATTTATTAAAACACAAACATTGGTACAAGTGGGCATCTAATATATGCACTCCTTACTTCGTTATTCGATTTTTGTGAGGGCTGTGATACTGCCCGAACGTCCAAACCAAAGCAGGTGGTTTTCTTAGGGCACTACACCCAGAGCCTTTGACCTACAAGTCTAATGCACAAGACAGTGAAGTAAAGTTAGGAGATGCACTTCCATAGTAGCCGGTGACCAGAAATAGGTTCATACGCCTTTTGTTCCCTCAGGATACTGGAGCCTATGTGCACCATTGGTTTGGAATCAGGGTTTTCCAAATCCCCTAGGTGAACTCTCTGAGTCCACCAACCCAGTTAAAGCGCCGGATATCGTCCTCTCAATTTCTTAAACAACACCTCTCCGCGAGAAGGCAGTGAGTAAGACTTCCCTGGTAGTGATTGTATATGTGTGGCCATGTAAGAGCATTTCGGGAGAGAGTGCTGACTCTCCCCACTCTCTGACGTACCAGGGCATTAGGGGGCAATCCCGGATAACTAAAGCAACCTAGTAACTCATTACATATTTATGTACATAGACATGAGCCATAAATTTTTATCCATGGAATAGTTTAACTACGCGGATGACCAACATGAACTAATCAACCTTACTTAAGTGTTAACGATGTATTACCCAAATAAACAAATACCTTGAAATTCCTTTTTTACTCCGAAAATTTCAGTAATTAAATTAATATCATATATATATATATATATATATATATATATATATATATATATATATATATATATATATATATATATATATATATATATATATATATATATATATATATATATATATATATATATATATATGGTAAAACAGACAATAGATAAAGTTCTGTCGATTTTAAATACTTATTCTATAGAAAAATAAGTGACAGAATAAATTTACTAGAAAAATTTTCAAAACGTACCAAGAGAGATGGAGAGATAACCGATTAGAATAAATACAGTCGGCAAAACGGGAAGTAAACGAGCAAAGCGACGAGGTCTTAGGGTGAAGGGTTTAAGTGGACGTGCCAAGGTTTTTGAAGATTTTTGTGAACTTCTGGACCTTCGACACAGCTGAATGCCATAAATTCGAACACAATTGTAACCTTCATTATCATCACTAGCACCCTGTTCATTTGAAACATATGCACTAGAATGAGCTGGGGAAGGTTGATGCACTAGATCGTTACACAGCTGTAATGCTGAAATACTGGACTCCTCCTCACTAACTGGAGCCAAAACATTAACAGTATTAATTGGTGTATGTTCAGTCTGTGACGACGATCCGAAAGGGGCATCAACATTTTGATAGCTGTTATCTAACACATCTGAATTCCACGGTTCGTTAACAAGAACAGTTGCAGAATTTTCCACCTTCACCAGTGGACCTTGTCCAAACATACGTTGGTAGTACAAAGTAGGACGAACGTAACGCCACCACAGTATTACAAACACAAACAATGCGAAGAAAGCTGGCAAGAAAGCACTCGCTATTAAAATAAGGTAAGCTATAAATAGAATGATCAAAAAGGAAAAATATTTTAATAGCATGGGATAATTCGTGAAAATTGCAGAATTTTTATGGGCTGCCATTGAAAACCTGGAAGTACTAGACAGTCGTTTCATGCTAGTGTAAGACTTCTCAGCAGGGCGCATCCGGTAACTAAACCAAGGACCTTCGGTTCCTTGTACGAACGTTTAACTTCTAAACCACTGAGCTGGCATCTGACAGTGTTGATGTTTAACTTCGATCAACTCAGGATATTACGCAAACACTATCCAATGCTCGCAATGAATAGCTATCTCATACCCGATACGGTTCGCGATTCAAACTATGAAAATATATTTTAATCCGAAATTAATTGACTCGAAAATAATGCACAATAAAAACCAATAATGTGTAAACTGTGATACGATGCTTGAAGATTTAGCCCAGCAGTCAAGTCTTCATCGATTGAACAACGAGTGTCCTACAAGCCAATCCCCTCAAAGACATTTTAGCATGTTTATATTGTGTTTATATTCTGCATAGAAACACTTCAACTGGTTACAGAATAAAACCTACTATTTTGGCTCAGTGGACTTGACTTTGATTTCAAATTATTTGAGGCCCAAAGTCAATAAAATAGTTTAGTGAGCAACCATAACCATATCATGATATTGTGTCCATTTATTGACCAACATTATATTCATTGATTTTAACAATCAAAAAATTCGCTCATCAAATAATCAACCTCCATACTAAACTGGGACTGTGATCAACATATTCAACTTAACTGTTGGTTTTCGTAAATACGTTTTTGTAGACAATTAATCCATTATTGACATTCATGATTTTTATCACTTTGGCATTACTTATTATGGACATAAGGAATAAGTTACTGATAAATTATAAATAGCTAACCGACTGACCAAGAAATTGAGCCACCTTAAGGGAATACTAAAGACTGGTTCAGTAAGTAATTAAATGTAGATTGACTGAGGCTTGTAAAAGTGGTAAGAGTTAGTTGGATATAACTGAAAAACTACAGTAACAACAAAGACACGTTCACTTGTTATTTTCTTTAACTATTAGACTTTTTTTCTTATATCCCAAAATTTTCTTATTTACCTTTCTGAACTATTTTTGATTATCTATCAACATCTTTTTGAAACGTGGTGACTACAAACGAGACAATTGTGTTGAACATCACCTACTTCACGCGACCAATAAGACAAAAGTTCATAGATAATAATGAATGAAACGAAGTTATAGGCCAGTTGTTTAAAAAGACTTTCTGATAGTGAGTATTAGGCTGCTATGATCGTACTGTGAGTTAGCAGTAGATTGAAGGTTTGAATCCTACTCTAGCTACTTTGTTTGGACAGCCAGGTAGCACTAATAATCTGTTCACATAATGTCGATAAAGGCTGAATACACAAGCCAGAACATGATAAACGGGTTGCATCAAATTAGTGACATAGCAAAATTAATATTTATACAGAAAAAACTGCTAGTCCTTAGTAAGAGTCAAATACAAAGTTATTGAGGCGTACAATATACATTAGAGCGACAAGTACCAAGTTTTAATGTTTATGAGTTCAATATTAACGCCTACAAAACTTGATGCCTTATATCCATAGGTATGTGATAGATTTTTGGAGGCACTTTAGTTTCGTATCAGTGCTTAAAAACAGGTGCAAAATAATGAGTACTGCTTATACTTCTCTAAATATACTTGGGAAAATCGGTAGAAACTATAAAGTTACTGCTCATCCAACCTACATTCAATAGTTGGGACATATTTCACATGCCAAAAGCTTGATATTAGAACTGGTGAAATAAGATTATTTGTACTAATGAATCAGTCATCATTAACGTAGAGCCGTTGGTTCAAGAGATGATAGTCTTTTATCGAGCCAAGAATAACCCGCTGTCAAAGCATAATTGTAGCAGATGGTCAACGTCATTTGTCCATTAGTTTGGGACACCATAAGACCAACTTAAGTTTTTTTTCATTTTGACTTATCCTACCACCTTGAACGCTATGCCCACTTGCTACAACTAACCCATTTGAGGCCCTGACTTTTTGAAGACCATTAAGTTTCGTGCAAAGTTTATATTTTACTCCATCAGAGCTGCAGCCAGTGGGAGATAGGTAGAAACGAGGAAAAGGCAACGGTGTGTTTCTATCTTTCAGAGTTCTTGCTGTGACTTTGAGACGGACAACACATAAATGCTGTCAACAGGAATCCAGTTGTGCATGTTCTTCCTTATATATACTTACACCAGCAAGACCACGAGGATCTGCTGTCATGCCCACAGATACACAAGGTGTAAATCATGTTAGTTATCCATACTGGTTAAGTGATTTCAAGTGGATGACCACGTTAGAACCCATTATACGTGGTCAGAAGATACGGTATACATCAGTGGCGCGATATTATGGTGTCTTAGTCAAACCTCTTTGCAATCTGATATATGTTTGGACATTCAAGACTTCAATATATGTGGTTTCATATCTGAAATAGTATTTTGTGAACTCGAGTAGTTAGCACTATTGGTACATATAAAAGTTGAAAACAGAAAATGAAGGTTTACAGTAGAAACAGAAGAAATATTGGGTAATGAGGATGGGGTTTGATCATAAATGACGTGAGATTGCTACTTCGCGGTTACCAACAATGAGGAAGGATAGTTCTTGATATCTGTAAAAGAGGCTGGGTCATCAGCAGTCTTAGCGGCTAGCAAGCGTGCGGCAATACCTAAGGAGCAACTACTTGAGGCTGGTATCCAGGCGCACAATTTTCTAATACCACTCTCAAGCTAACGAGCTTTGGAGTACAAGCACTGACTATACTAGTTCTACAATTATCAGGTCTGTTTTTCTGAGATCTTACATCAAGACATGTTACTAATAAAAATAACCCAGTAGACTAAATCTGCCATGATATCCTATCAATTGAGGGGAAGGTATAGAAACTAATGCATCGATAGTTATGGCAAAGTGCAATTATTCAAATTAAATCAAATTACTGATAACAGATCCTTACTTTCATTAGGTTCGTCTGAAAATCTGTAGAAAAATATCAGCCCAATGACAGACCCCATAATCATCGCACTGACTGCACAGCCTAAAATGAACAATTAAAGACTGAAAAACAGATTAAATGGTAGAAATGTGGCTTTCATGAACACTGAAAGTGTATTATTCATACATATTGATTAACTTTCCAGAATACTGTAATTACATCTATTCAAGTGATGAGAAATAATCAGTGCTTCATTAAGTTTATGATATTAAGCAATAACTGTAGAGTTGTGACTGTTCGGCTTGCATTTAAATAGTTTAAAACATTATTTGACCATATGAGTTTTGGAAGACTAGTACCTGTAATAAATACCGCTCACGGTTCAAGGACACATACGTAGTTGCTATTGCCTCGGGAACTCACAACCTATAAGTATAAGGTATTTTTGCATGCACAACTGTTGGGGGATACATAATTTCAAATTACAACTCATGAAAAGGAAATCAGTATCAATTAGGTTGAAATTCTGTTACAGCAAATTATATAATGTGAACACTATTCGCGAAATTTCAACGCATTTTTACGATATTTTAAAGTACTTGGTTTAAATATTCTGATCATTTTTTATGAATAGATCATGGAAAAACTTAATGTATTTTGATTAATTAATCAACATCGCATAGCTTCGTCTGCAAGACTGGTGTTTTTATACTAGCTAGTGGGACAGGGAAAAGAAGGGGATAGAAGTAGTTTCATTCACAATACTGAAGTCAGAGTACGGTGTACCAACGTATAAACAACCACATAGCCAAAAATATACGAAAGATTGAATTATATTATTTCTCAAATCACTGTAAGACATAATGGAAAATCAAATACCATAACAAACCGAAGCAAAAACAGGCGAAACGGTATTGCATCGTAGGCCTTCAACAATACTTCTCTTTTACTAATATTATCCTTGCTTTCTAGAAAGTATCAACATTATTTGAGTAATCAGTAAGTTCGAATGGCATTAAACTGATCGCATCTACTGATAAATGGGTATTGTTGTCGAAATTTGAACCCCCACTTGAACGATAAGTAATATCGCATAACAGCTGAAAACCCACTAAGAGACATATAAGGCTTTAAACGAAGTGGAGACTAACCTTGCAAAAGCATATCACATGATATCATAAACTTATGGCAATATATTTGATAAAATATATGATGGTCCATCAGACGTTTACAGCTCTAAACTGTATGTATGATTTAGTCTCAAACAGTCATGAAAATGAAGAACCTAGCGCAAATTTACATCGACCCAAATTGTTGCACTATACATCACCATCAAAGTCAAAAAATAGGTGTCAAAGGAGTCGAACTAATACCTGTTACAACGATAGCAAAAGACTAAAACTAAGAAATGTACTCTAAAAAGAACTAATATAATCCATGAATCAGGAGTACAGAATTATATTAAAACTCGAGATCTGAAAGTAAAAAATGGGCATGGAAATAAGATTTGAACACAACTGACTAACTGATTCTGGAAACTGACTACACTTCATCTACCTAATGCATATAACTAATACATAAACCAGTTGATCATTGAAGTACTATTCTAATGTGGTAGAGTTGAATGAAACAAAATATGTATTTACACTAAAAACTGGGTATGTAAAGCAGTTTTCTGACATTTTTAAACTGGTTGCGAGTAAACATTGAAAGATTAGATTTTTCGAACGGGATGTTCTTGTTAAATAGATATATACTTTTGTAATAACCCTTATGATGAAACTAAGTGAACTACCATAATGATCGCTTTGGTTGTAATAGGAAAAAGAAACTTTGAAGACACTATAACAACTAAGCCTAAGATTAACAGCTTAAATCATGTCCACTACTTATTGGTATAATTAGCTTCCATTGACAGTAACACTCAATGGTCAGAAACAGTGTATGACTGCAGAAGCTTACTTTAAGTATAAAGCTCTGAAAACAAATAAGCGTCTGTACAGAAACAAAAACTTACGGGGCCAAATCCACATATTACATGAAGTAGCATATAGAAAACCTGCAAGAAGCAAGACAGCAACGGGAAATAGGATAACTGGTGTATCTTTAGGAAGAGTACCACAGTTGACTTCCAAACTAGCATTTGAAGTGGGTTGGTTATATACAGTACGGTAGAAACTGGGTGAAATTTGTGCAGGGCAACCAAAAAGAATGACAGGAATATAAGGCACTTGCCATGTATCACCAGAAATTGAATACTCCACAACAACAGTGATAATATATGCTGTAGCTGGACGACGTGAGACGATTATGTTAATAAATTCATCATTTGGTGTGAATTCACTATTAAAACAAGATCCAGGGTAAACTTAGTTGATACATTCAAATCCTACCAAAATATGCAGCAATAAGAAAACTGACAACAAACTTAAAATCGTATTTCCCTTTTAGACTTACGTTAGTAATAGAAAGCCCCCAGATGCCCTGGTACGTCAGAGAAGGGAGTCAGCTCTCTCCCGAAATGCTCCCACATGGCCACGCATATAAAATCACTACCAGGGAAGTCCCACTCACTGCCTTCTCGCGGAGAGGTGTTGTTTACGAAATTGCGAGGACGAAAACCGAATGCTCGGAGGTTTAACCTGGTTGGTTGACTCGGAGGGTTCACCTAGGGGAGCTGAAAAACCCTGATTCCAAACCAATGTTGCGCAAATGGCGCATGAACCAATCATCGGTCACCGGCTACCATGGGATTGCATCGCCTGACGTTGCTTCGCTACCTTTAGGTCGAAGGCTCTGGGTGTGGTGCCTTAAGAAAACCACCTGCCTAGGTTTGGCCACCCGGGCAGCATTATAGCCCATGCATTAATCAATTGACTTGTGTGGTGTATATGTATTCGGTGCCCCTTTGTACCAATATTTATATATTAAAATAAATAAATAAATAAATAAAAGTAATACAAAACTGGTGCTCCTTAAAGTAATTCATATAAACTGACTAAAGTGTACGGAAAACATCCACAATGAGAGACTTATAATACATAGGTACAGAACAAGTGAAATAGTATATCAATAACAAACAGAAAATACTGAGCTGCACGTAGTGAATTCGTGCCTTAGGGGAATTAGCATTCGACTATCCACAATCGAAACCTAGCTCTTCTTAGCTTAAAACCAAAGAACTAAAGCCATATTTCGGAAATTAGGGTTACTTGCTATTGCATGTGAAGGTACACTACAGTTAAAACAGATCAAAGCCCAAGAACGGAAGGGTACAAAACCTAAACTAAAACTTGCCACCGTTGTTTGAGTGGGTTCGATGTGAGCTATATCTAGAAATGTGTAATATTGAATAGACACACGGCACCTAAGCTTGAAACAAACTTTCAGTATTGTGAACTTCTTGCGTAACTTATATGACTGTACACACAACATTCCTGAGACCAATGACAATAACGCCAATGAGACACTTACCTCTGGTGAAATGACTGTATGTAAGTACCAACAAATGACGAATGGCCAAAGTTGGCCATGTTTTTTAAGACTGATGCAACTTCACTGGGACTAGGATTCACGAAGGCTCCATAAGAACCACCAGCAGTTATTAGTGGTGTACCATAAACGTGATAAACTAGGCTCCCTGATGGCTTACTTTCGGTAATCCAGTGAGAACACGCAAAACCACCTGATCCGACAGGTGCCGAAGCTGCAGAGAGCTGGAGAGAAGACGTCCAATAGCTTAAAAACTCAATGCGTTTCGAGCTTGAAAGATTTATATTTTTAGTCATTATATCTGTAGTGATGGCTGCATTCATGAAACCACTACGCGAACTACGACCACAACCACCTGGCAATGGAACTACAATGATAGATATATAACACTACCATAAACATACATTCTGATCCATATGCAACAGCTTTAACCCACACAATTAGCGGAACACTATAGGTAGAATAAACGTAGAATGTCGACAATGTTTTGTTTTCAACAAAACTAGCTAAGCCGCAATGAGCCGAGTATTGTGAAGTGTCATATGTAAACGAGGCTGATGTGGACACTAGTAGTGGGTTGAAGGGGCTGTGTACTTGATACACAACAAATTTGCTCCATGGCGGAATTTTGATAACTTCGACATACACCAACCCATTGACAGTGATGTTCGTGAACGACCCATGTTCAATAGTGATTACCGTATGAGAAAAACACTCCTGAATATACCCAGAAGTTAACAACAAGTAAGGGCAGAGTAGGAACCACAACATACCGCCCATATTGAATTGCCGCTCGTGCGGCCCCAATTAAAAACTTCGCGTTTTCACTTTACTTTTTCAGTAGTCAAAATATCATCCCCATAGAAACTTTGAACTTCTATGTATTCAGGAGAGACTTTTCTGATGTTTTACATTTTGTTTGTAAAAAAAAGATAGTTTGTTCTATTCACTTCGTATTAAACTTCTGTGCATATTAAGTTCTCACTTCCAACTTTACCAGGTAGAAATAGCAAAACGTCTGTGCCTTTGAATCTATATCTAGTGGCAGAGAAAAGTTTTTGGTTATTAAGAAATGGAGCTTGTATTCTGCTTCCTCTGAATCTAGAAAACATGGGTACAGGGTTTTTTGGAAGCTTTAGCTGAACTGTATCTACCTTAAACTTCAAGCATCTGATCGTTAGATGGTACGTCGAATATCTCTAGGGTGAGAGATGACTAAAGCCTATCAACTGGCTGCATGCCATAGCCTGGCTCATGAGGCCATGGTTGCGCTATGTTTTTTCAATCTTTGCTTACTAATATATTTTCTCGGTAACGTCATATTTATCTAGATGGTCATCGAAGTAGCCTCAGCACCTGGGTATCAAGAGGAGGTAATTAACTCTAGGTATCAACCGCGGGGCGTGACATTGACTCAAACAAGGTCACAACATTCTTGGCCAAATCAAGAAGATTGGAACTGTACAAATGGATCATCCACATTGGTGATCTACATGTTCAACGATGGGAGGGATTATTGACACCTATTTACTCGCCAATAGTATCTGCGGAATTGAGGAATGGTGTATGCCTTCTTTTGAGACGATTAGTGAAGGTTTCGTCAATATGGCACCCTTCAGGGAATTCCACAACTTTCTGTTATGAACGTTATAATGAATTTTAATGCAAGTTATTTGGTTATGTATTCAAAAATTTCGTCTTCATAAGAGTAATGTAGTGCTTGTAGGACCAGCGAAATAACACAAGTATTTTGGACAAATTATCCGTCAGGTCAAACGTATCTCAAACTTGGAACACCGATCACTGAGAGAAATGTAATTTATTTTAACTTGTGAAGTCGGACATGAATTAGTTAGGTGATACAGTGGACCTGCAACGTGTGGTAAAATAACCGCAACTTACCAACTGTCGTTTTATTCACTGGGGATTTATATACATGTATTCCCAACAAGATTTATTTTGTTCTCTAAGCGTGCTAGAGAAGCGGAATATCCTGGTCGACAGGTTAGTATGGACCAGAGTGAAAAATTGTTGGGTGGTGGTGGAAACTCAACTTACACTGTTTCATCTGACTCTAGTGAAGCAAGAATACTAACTGATCGGCACACGTACGTTTGTTGGGTTTAATCGTTCAACCTTCATTAGTTAGTAATATCGAGAAAAGTCACTAAGTCTGGTCTCAGCTTTTGCTACACAATAAGGGAAGCAAGTAGGGTCAGGGCTGTCTTGCTCAAACACACAAACGTTCACTAGTAAGTGGGAATTGTTTATTATATTTATTTATTTGAACACATAACATAGGCAAAATGGGGCACCAAATACATATGCTAAACACAATACCAGTGGGGCCAATGGTAGTTATCGTCGATTTGTGTGAGGGCTGTGATGTCAGGGTTTCCAAAGCGAAGTAGATGGCTTTCTTAAGGAGCCACCCCCGAGCCTCCATAAACTGTGGAAGACAATAACTACTGGCGATGATGCTTTTATTCTAATAGCGTATTATTGGTAGACTCTTAACCGTTAATGCCTGTTTGCATATCTGTTATACCGATGACAGTCTGACACGTATATATCAGCCCATCTAACTGACCTATTTGGTTAAACATAATTATTTGCTATATAAGGCATCATGATACTTTCCCTGGTAAGGTAAGGAGACAGGACGTAGAAGCTGTTTTCTGTATTGAGCCTTGGGTAAATACGAAATTTTTTGTTAGTTTAGAGGTAAAACTGTAACAAATTGGGTTGATTACTTAACAATTGGATGTAAACATCTTAGTAATGTCAAAATATCAGAGCTTAAGTATGTATCCACTTCATATTTCCTATTATTCTGTATTGAATGTCGAAAAAACCTTGTGTGTTTGAAAAGGATAACTAGGCGCTCAATCTGTTCTGCTCCACGATCTAACTGAAGACCTATTCACTACTAGTCTGTCTTCTTCGAAAGATCAAATGAAGCTTCTCACCAGCAAGAAATAGGTGGGCCTCGTTTTGAACACAATGTTAATTTCTGTTTTGCTTATTACTTTTGTTTTCTTAGTCGTAGAGTAAATCTTCTGATCATCTTCAACATAAACTCCTTATATGTATATGCGTTTACATATATATTGTCCTTTATCAAAAAGTATTCATGTTTAAGTTATTCGTTACGCCTTTCATGTCACATTAATATATATATATATACTCTTCCCCCTCCATCAGTTGTCAAAGAAGTCTGTGACTTAATTTTGAGTCCACCAACATCTAAACCACACACCATTTTCAAACGAGGGATAATGAACCATCTCCATCTGTCAGACGACCAAAGAATCTAAAAGATTTTACAAGGAGAAATGTGGGATGATAGTTCACCATCAAGTCCTAATCGATGATAACACACTGGGTAAAGCAGTCCCTAAAAAAAGATAGATGCAAGCTTTCCTACGCTACATCCAACACTGTTTCGGTGCTCAATACCTGAACACCTCTCCATCTTACTCAGCGCGTATCGCAGAGAGAATAATGGGACGAAGTCCCTAGCTGGGTCATCTACGATACATCACACACGAAACAAAGAACCACCAAAAGACCCAGTCATATCAGGACTCATTGTAAGTGTTAAGAGTCTCACAAAAGCTGTAACCAAAATGCGAATGGGCCGTAGAAACAGGAGCAAGTCACCGCAACGACCGAGACCCAAGTCACAGGGTAGGTCACAAACGTCCAGACAATCTGGGAAGTGCTGTTGCTATCACTATAATTTTGGTGTCAAATCAGCCATATGTAGTCAACCATGTAGTTAGTCCAAACAGACTCCCAAGAATATGGGAAACGAGCACCCCCCGACAGGACTCAACGACTGAAAAGAGGTGCCTGAAGAGTCACTCGTTTTATGTTAGGGGCAGACATTTAGTCTTAAGCATTTCTGTGGCTACCGGCGTGGCATTTAGTCTCATTTTTCAGAGCAAACCTGAGATGTGTCAAAAACCTCACCGGTCACACTTTAGTCTGCTGACCAAAATAAAATCGAAACGCTTGGGTAGAAAACGATGACATAAAACCTGGGGTTTAGGAAGAAAATTTCCTCCATGTTCCCTGTAGTCGATTTGAATCTGGCAATGTTGGGAATGGGTCTTAGTAATTCATTCTACCTTATTCGAGTTTTAGAGAGTATTATTTTCAGTCTCATAAAAACATAAATTACTTTTATTTTATCCATAAGTTGTTCAGATACCTGTACTGGTAGTAGATCACCGCGTCTATCCACTGGTTATTTCTCTTACCGCTCGTAGTGCAAGTAGCTTTCGAATTTACTACCATCACCATGCTCAACGAGCAACAGCATTTACTCAGAAGATCTCTGTCCTGTTGTGTACCACTTAAGTTATGTGACTTTGTGGTGCTTGGTCCCTAACCATATTCTCTTTGAAACTGGGCATATAATTACTGAGACTTACATCTAACATGTAGCACCTAGGGAACGTCAATAATTGAAAACACGGGGACACTATATCTGCATGAAATGGCTCAGCCTAGTAGGAGTGGTCATCTGTGTAGCTCATACCTTTTCACATAGAGTATATTATTTTATCTCCAGTCGAAGTTTGTCCTTCAAATGTACTAAACGTCTTATTGCCGATTGTCACGATATAACGAGTCAGTGCACACTATGATGTGACTTCAACGTAAGGTCTTATAAACCAGGTAATGACGTCATGACAAGTCTACAGTTTTGTGGTTATGTCTCTTATTATAGTAACAAAGATAAATGTAGTAATATCGAAGTAGACTTCAATTTGACAACCCAACTCATACATTAAAGGAGAGTAATTCACTTATCTGATATCCATATGGATAGGAACTCGCAATGTATAAGACCATGAATAGAGGAGAGCTCAAATGATAAATTCGTAAATTGTCGACAACAATTGAAACAGCGTGAAACGTAGACGAAGGGTACAATAGCTAACATGTCTATTACTTATACAATAGAAATACATGTAATAATTCTCCATAGGACAGTTCTTAAAGTTGCAGCTGTCTCAATATTCCCCCCTCCCCATAACAATTGCTGTTTCGTTCAAGTAAGTATGAGGGCAAGGTTTATTTAGATTCATTCTGATGTTCTAAAGTTTCTCCCGGGTAATAAATGAGTCTATTGCATCGGCAACTTTGGTTGTTTAGTGCTATCCAACTTCTGTGAGAGAACAAGATTACCTGTATTTTTAACTCATTTGCGTTGGTTTTCTCAAACTCAAAAGGTGCATGTTTATCATCTTTGTGAGGATTCACTATATGTGTTAATGGAAGCATGTCTTTTTGTGAATAATATTGACCAACTTAATGAGGTTAGGGTATTATGCAAAGTGACTCTGCGTTTCCAATTTTGTTCGTTTCTGTTTTTAACAAAATATAGCCATATAGTTCATTCTTTAAACCATACTGTGTTTCGTCCAGATTTTGTTCTCGTCCATTATTGAAGCACGGTTTATTGATTCACTAATAACCTACAACCCAACTAAGAAGCGAACTAATTCAAACTCAAATACCAACATTTATTCGTAAATGCTAAGTAATCAACACAAATATATCGTTTTTCAATCTTTAGGTCTTCGGAACGAAAATTTCCAAAATGCCAAAGCAAAAAACAAACTGAAACCAACATGTTCATGCCGAAAATACAAACAGACAAGGTCAAAGGTTAATCGAAGAAAATACATCTAAAAGTATGTTCATTATTCAGTATAACAGTTCTAATCAGTTAAATATATTCAGTTCTTTCCATAATACTGTTGTAGAACGGTAATCAGGTCATCTTTTAAAAGTAATTTGGGCTAGTGACTCAA